ACAGGAGCATGCATTAGCAGATGATAGAATATACAGACAATAGAAGGTTACTGAGGACACTGAAGGAGGGAGGATGGAGGCCGTACCAGGTGAGGGGTTTAACAGAGTGTGTAGTAGCATGCATTAGTTACAGCAGACACTGATGCAGCAATCATACACACACAAACACAAGGTCATCTTACAAAGGATGTCATTTTCTTAAATGCCACAGGAAGGTCAAATAAAAAAGAACTGAATCTACAAACGTTTGACAGAACAGCTGCGATATCTTTAAAGATATACTATGCACTATAGGAATTGCAGTCACTGTTTGTAAACTGTGAAAAAGTGAAAGCCAGCCCCAAATTCTCAATTACTTAGTGTCTCACCTCACTATACATGTGTTTTTTCTGGTGCTGTGTCTGTGACAGTCTGTTCCTGCGGGAAAAGCCTCTTGTTTCCCTGGTAAGGTGACTATATCTGTCTAGTAATTTAAGTCCATTTGACCGTCCCTTTGGTCTGTCAGTAAGGAGTCATAGAGAGGTCTGTACAGAGGAACCTTTGGGCTCCTCTTCGATGTTGAATTGGAAAGTGCAGCACGCGCAGTGGGTGCCCAATTACAAAAATTCAAAGCTGCATGACCAAGTACCATGACAACTTTCTGGAGCCTTCGGGCTCAATACAAAAGTGGTGATTAAATCATTTTTGAGTGCGGTCAAACTCCCAAGTAGTCGAAATCCGACGCTTGGGCAGTGTCAGAAACCAACGAAAGAAGGCGTCCTTTCGGCATGATACACGGCCAGTTGCTGTTATAGTTTAACGGTGCCTGGTGGAAACACGCCAGTACAAGGAAGAAAGTTAAGGCGGTGAAAGTCCAACTGGGGCGGGCAGGAGGGGTGGTGGATGGTTCCAGCAAACACCAACTTTCACCCAGGAGAGCGGTGTGCGCGCCCCATAAAATTCTAAAGCCAAACCCTGTTCTTTTTTCATAAACACGACCATGTGTGTTTGTTGTTGAGGGAAAAAAAAGTTAGTTCGTGTTGTTGTATCGACATAGTGCGTTTATTTTGAAAGAGACTGTATGTAAATGTTAAATTTCCTGTTAAGTGTATTTTGAAAGAAGACAATGCATGTAACAGGCAGAACTTGACACGGTGTCCCAGAACGTCAACAACCAACGCACCCAGGGTACTCTGCATGTTGTATGTGGACGTGGAAACCAAACATCAATATGTGACGAGGTCGGAGTGAGAATGTTGCATTTACTGGTGTGCTAACCTCACGCTGGGTCTATGGTCGCATATTGTAACCATAAACCACGTTAAATACACCACCACACACTTCTAGACACTTCTTACTTTTGTATGAGTATGAGTTAGGAAAATTCTGCATAGTTGATTAGATAGATGCATTATGTATGACAATTACAAATATAATTTATGTGATTGCTATAATTTGGGTTAAAGGTGAGAGAATACTCAAAATTAACTAATTCATACAACTTGATGTCCAAAGGCAAAATTGGTTATCATCCAAATAGCCACACCTGAGGAGTCACAGGGAGGCACAACATGGATGGATGGATGGATGGATGAGTCTGTGTGTAATGAACTCAAGACCTGTCAATAACAAAAAAAGAGGTTGCAGTACAGACAATAACGAAAGAGAAAGAAGCAACGGAGAAGAGGAGAAAATAACAATAAAAGCTGAAAGAACAAAACAGACAAAGAGGAGAGATGCAGACAAAAATGCAGAAAAGGGGAAAAAGACAAACATTTCACAGAAAGAGGTATAATCATGCAGCTATTCAGTGGAGCCATTATCGGGCTGCAGGCAGCTCGGTTCTTTACAGAATAACAGCAGGGGTTCAGAGGAGCTTCTAAACCACCCACAGATACACCGTGAAAGGTCCTGCCAGCTACAGTACTATCTTTAGCCACAATTTTTTAAGTGGCATACCACTCAATCTCAGATTTTCTTCCTATGACCCAGAGACACAGAATGGGGATTTATGAACTTGCAGATTAAACTGTAGATTCCTGAGGAGGTGTTGAGCTGCTGAGGAGGTGGGTTTGACGCTGCCATCTTATTTTCTTACATGATTAAAGAAAAAACGGGCAAAGAGGGAGACAAAGAGAGGGAGGCAGACTGACTGGTTTTGGTATCAGATGTTCATGGATAACATATGTTAATTACTGCTGTTAATGATGCCATAGATTACTGCGTTAGATGACATAGGAGGGCTTACAGCTGAGACAAAGGACAGGCGTGTGTGTGAATGTCTCATGGTCACCTCCCTAGGTGCTCAAAATCACAGTGCTATTAGAAGTGCATGTAAGTATGTGTGTTAGCATGTGTGTGTGTGTGTGTGTGTGTGTATGAAAAATCCAGTGTAATTGCCCTGTCTATCCATATCCGCCCACAGCACCATGTGGGACCCCGGCTAAAGTGGCTGCCACTGCTTTAGAAATAGCCGTCTAAATGGCTGGAGGGAGTTGTAAAATACCCCATTGTCTCGATGGTCACATCGCTCAGCCTTAAGGGGCCCATTTACTCTCTCAGTCCAACAAACAGAGGGCACAGACATTTTTTCTTTGTGCACAGTTGTTGGATTTTCAGAGAAATGCATTGTGGAGAGTTGTAGCTCAAGTTTTTTGGAGGGACATGATTAGAGTTCGTGCTTTTCACAGTAGACCTTACGTGTAATCCCCAGAAATCCCAAATGCCTGGTCTGCTGAACAGGAAGTGTACAATTTGATCGCATCTGCCTTGTTAAAGGGATATCTTGACATTTTCAATCTAAGTTGGTTGCTTTCACAGGGCACACTGAGAGAAAAGTTTCCACATTTGATGCTCATTTATCCCCCAGTATTCGCCATGCCCAATACAAGGCAAAATATGCCTATACTTCCATCGCTAGGATGTGCCATTCTGGTAGTCAAGTGGATGATTAAGTTACAAAAAAAATCACTGATGAGCTTAAAATATGACAAAAATACACCACATCTGATTGACACAGTGTTTTGGATACATGTCTCTTTTGGAAAATATGCCTTCTTTCCACCACACCACTCTCGTGTCTGTGCTTTAAAGATGGAGGCCATTAGCCTAGCTTAGCTTAAAGACTGAAAAAAGCCCACTGACACTTGTGATGCCCATTAATTAACACATACTACATTAACAATAATTTAGTTACATGGTGTAACTATTTCTTGGCAAACCAAATTTACTTAACTGAGTCTTGTTGAATTGAGGTTGCCTGGCAACCAACGGGAATGCTGCACAGTTGTATTGAGAGGATGAAACTACTGTTTGTCATAAACATTACTGTTTTTGTACTTTTTTTTTTTTCGGTTTTAGTTTGTTGTCATACACACACAGGCCCAAAATAAACACACATGCACAAACAGGACCTATACATGCATTAAATGGAGGGATGTCAGAGCGAGGGGGCTGCTCATGGACAGGTGCCCTGAGCAGCTGGGGGTTTGTTACCTTGCTCAGGGGCTCTTTGACAGTTCCCAAGAGGCAAACTGGCACTTCTCTAGCTACAAGTCCACACTCCATGTTTGGTCTGGACTTGAATGGGTGATTCTCCCATTCCCAACCCAAATCCCTATGGACTGAGCTACTGCCACCTCAACAAGCAATACACAGTGTTAATTAGTGAGCTTTAAGCCTGGTATACAGTGCGATTTTTGGCTGTTCCAGGCGAAAGACGACCATCGTCGTTCAGTTAATAGACACTAAAAAGGCTACAGGGCTAGACCAGGTCTCAGCTTTCCTCTTGAAAACATTTGCAGCGGAGCTTGCACCAGCCTGGGCCCCTGTCTATCAGAAGCCAGTTGACTCAGGTGTAGTCCCATCCCTCTGGAAAGAGGCAGTCATAAATCCTGTGCCTAAAAAACCTACCCCCTCAAAAAAATAATGATAACAGACCAGTGGCCCTGACTTCCAATGTTATGAAATGTCTAGAGAAGTTGATGGTGGGGAAGCTGAAGGAAGATATACATGACCAGTTAGATGCCCATCAGTTTGCTTACAAAAGCAACTGTAGCACTGATGATGCAGTTCTTACCATATACCATCTTATTCTGCAACATCTTGAAAATCCCAAGGCCTATGCTAGATTATTACTGGTAGACTTCAGCTCTGCTTTTAATACCCAGCAGCTACACATCCTTCTAAAAAAAGACTCAGGGAGATGTCTGTTAACCCACATACCATCAGGTGGTATCACTCATTTTTGACCGACAGGTCCCAGTGGACCCGAGTGAACCAGACACTGTCTGAGGTAAAAGTAAGTAACACAGGGATGCCCCAAGGGTGTGTTAGCTCGCCCCTTTTATTTACATTAGAAACAAACAGTTGCACAAGTACTCACCCTAGCACCTATATAGTTCTCAGATGATACTGCTATACTGGGTTTGATGGATACACACACTGACAACTCGGGTTACAGAATGAATTGACCATACACATATTGTATGTTTGCACTGTTTTTGCTGTGTTGTATTCTTGGTGTATTGTGATATGTCTAATGCAGTGGCCTCTTATCCAAGACAAATTTCCTTCGGGATCAATAAAGTAATCAATCAATCAATCAATCAATCATGAAAGAACGTGGCGATATCGTTGGTCGTGGCTCTAAAACGGTGGTCCTACTTCGCACAGTAAGAGAGGTTCAAAGATGGCTGATGTCACGGTCTTGCGATCAAGGACAGCCTGGGATAAATTACTGAGAAATTTGGGATGACCATCTCACGGTGTGACTGCTGTTACCACCTTTGTCTGCTAACCAACCAGTAGAAATGCAGCATGAAATGACGCACTGCTGCTACACCCAAACAAACAGATGGATAGCAGCTCACCACGCCACAAGCTGGAGAGGAGTTTGAGCTGAACGGGAACACCATGAGGAAGACGCCAGAGGCAAAACATTCTAAAGACAGAGGAGACTGAGAAAGCGTTTGACATGCCACCACAAATTATCCCTGTAATTACACATTCACTCTGGACAGCCACGATGAAGAGCAAGCTAGTCGACAGGTCCGGCAGACCGGCACCTGAGGGGTGTCCAGTGGAGTTGCCCAGTCTGAGCAAGCTGGTCATGAGGAGCAAGAGCGGTGGCCTGGCGGTGAGTCAACCACACACACATCCAGATAGGAGGGGTCACACTTACCTAGGGAAGTCCAGGTACATTTCTCACGTCTAATGCAACACATAGAGGGAGGCACTGAATTACGAGCTTGCTAGCCTTTGCTGATGAGGTTTCACAAGCCTGGTTTAGCATAGCAGCATCACACACGACAACTGTAACGGCAGGGCTAGACATTAGGACCAGCCACTAGCCAAGTGCTAGCAAAATATGCAAATAGCTACTAGACTTGCTTCATTTACCAGCCCAAAAAACAAATGGTAATCTACTGAGTGGCTGGTAGACTTTGGAATCCACTAACCACAGTGGTAGGTGGACAAAAAGTTAGTTTCCAACACTGGTAATGGGTGAACTTAGTATAACTAACACGTTTACACTCTATCAAGGCTTCAAGTTATGCATATTACAGTCTGAGTCAGATCCACACCTCCCTTATCCACAGCTCTACCCTCTCACCCAATTTGGGCACTTCTGGCTCCAAAAATCCAAGCTGGTAACGGACACAACTTGAGGCTTCAAAAAGGGAGTTTGCATAACAATTAAAGATATCATGGTGGCTACATTCAGTCTATGTATGCTGCTACAAGGATGTTTTAATCACAGGACAGAGCCAAGCCAGCTGTTTCCCCCTACTTCAATATTTTATGCTAAGCTAAGCTATCTGCCTCCTGCCTCAGGCTCTATAGTTAACCCACAGAGAGTGGTGTTAATCGTCTCATCTACCTCTCTTAATTCACACAATGTAGAACTATTTGTCCAAAATACTCTCTAATACTTTTATCTCTGATCAGGACTTTCTAGAAGACGAGATTTTGTATCTCAGTGGGACCTCCCTGGCCAAATAAAAGATGAATAAAAATATTTATAATTTCTCTATCACCATTCAGAGGCAGTCCCAGCCTCTACTCTCCACTTTCTCTGCCTCAGTCTCCCCAATAGCTTTGCCTTTACATTTGCTTCATCTTGTCTCTTTCTCTCTTTATTTCCACCATTGCTCTGGAGACGTAATGAACCAGTATCATAAAGCCCACATACAGATATACACAAACACTTGTTCAGTCAGTAAATCCTCACTGCAGCTCTCAGAAAAGATTTGTGCGTTTAATATTTGCATATGAGCAGAAGCGCGTGTGTCTTCGCCTATAACGTGGACCATTATGCATTTTGCTGAACATCGAGACACGCTCAGCCTCTATCAGGAGTAATTAATCAAATCCTGTCACCAATCTGTAATCATTGACATCTCCGCTGCTTACTATATGTCTGTCTGGCACTTTGAATGTGTGTGTATGAGTGTGTGTGTGTCTGTGTGTGAGTCACCTACACCATCTGGAGTATAGGAGAGTGTGCAGGAGCATGTTGCAACACAGAGGGGGTCCTCTGAAAAACACACAGACACATCCTAACACCCCCCTCAAGCTGCAACGCGTATCACACACACACACACACACAAACACAGACTCACACACGGATTTATGTGTTCATTACTAACCGTAATCACAGTCTACATCTCACACCTGTGTTCTCGGCTCTGTGACATGCTTTTAGGTGTGTGTCTGTGTTTGTACAGGAGGAGGGCTGCTCGGAAAGGAGCCCTTCATTTCATTACCTCGGAGTAATATTTGATCAAGATTTGTCTTTTAATTCTCATTTAAAGCAAACCTCACGGACTGCATTTTTTCATCTGCGTAATATTGCGAAAATTAGGCCTATCCTGACCCGAAAAGATGCAGAAAAATTGGTCCACGCTTTTGTTACCTCAAGGCTGGATTACTGTAACTCTCTATTATCAGGTAGCTCTAGTAAGTCCTTAAAAACTCTCCAGCTAATTCAGAATGCAGCAGCACGTGTACTAACAGGAACTAAGAAACGAGATCATATTTCTCCTGTTTTAGCTTCTCTGCACTGGCTCCCTGTAAAATCCAGAATTGAATTTAAAATCCTACTGTTAACTTATAAAGCTCTAAATGGTCAAGCTCCGTCATATCTTAGAGAGCTCATAGTGCCATATTATCCCACCAGAACACTGCGCTCTGAGAACGCAGGGTTACTCGTGGTCCCTAAAGTCTCCAAAAGTAGATCAGGAGCCAGAGCCTTCAGCTATCAGGCTCCTCTCCTGTGGAATCATCTTCCTGTTACGGTCCGGGAGGCAGACACCGTCTCCACATTTAAGACTAGACTTAAGACTTTCCTCTTTGATAAAGCTTATAGTTAGGGCTGGCTCAGGCTTGCCCTGTACCAGCCCCTAGTTAGGCTGACTTAGGCCTAGTCTGCCGGAGGACCCCCTATAATACACCGGGCTCCCTCTCTCTCCCTCTCTCTCTCTCTCTCTCTCTCTCTCTCTCTCTCTCTCTCTCTCATCCTATTACTGCATCTTGCTAACTCGGCCATTCTGGATGTCACTAACTCGGCTTCTTCTCCGGAGCCTTTGTGCTCCACTGTCTCTCAGAATAACTCATACCGCAGCGGTGCCTGGACAGTGTGACGTGTGTGGTTGTGCTGCTGCCGTGGTCCTGCCAGATGCCTCCTGCTGCTGCTGCCATCATTAGTCATTAGTCATACTTCTACTGTTATTATACACATATGACTATTGTCACACAAGTATACTGTCTGATATTAATACATACTTTCAACATATTGTACCACAGTAGCCAGAACTATAACTATAATATTATTACTTTCATTAATGTTGTTGTAAGCTACTGTCATTACCTGCATCTCTCTCTCTCTCTCTCTCTCTCTGTCTCATTGTGTCATATGGATTACTGTTAATTTATTATGCTGATCTGTTCTGTACGACATCTATTGCACGTCTGTCCGTCCTGGAAGAGGGATCCCTCCTCAGTTGCTCTTCCTGAGGTTTCTACCGTTTTTTTTTTTCCCCCGTTAAAGGGGTTTTTTTTGGGGAGTTTTTCCTTTTCCGCTGTGAGGGTCTTAAGGACAGAGGGATGTCGTATGCTGTAAAGCCCTGTGAGGCAAATTGTGATTTGTGATATTGGGCTTTATAAATAAAATTGAATTGAATTGAAATTGAATGATGGCAAGAACTGCTTTCACTTTGTACTTTTTTGTCGTTTTTTAAAGATGATCTTCTTCCATTGTTTCTTTGGCCTTTACTGGACATTAAACTGTGTGAGGAGGGTGCAACGAGAAGTCTCGAAACAGGGACGTTGTGATTACAAAGTACATACGTAAGACCACTAGACCACATGTACAGCGCTGGAAAATCTATGTTTACACAATTGCATTATAGGAAAACATGATTTTGGTTTTTCCAGGTTGGGGAAATATTCTTTATGTTTATTTAAAAATTAAATAATTTTCACTCTTACAGAAATTTTGACCTAATTTTAAAACTCCTATAAAATGTCAATAATATTGTTGCAACTCTTCATCGCTGTTAAGCCCCCCATTTGTTAGATCCTGCTCTCTTCTTCTGTTATATTTAACTTTTATTTACCTGATGCATGTCTCGTGCTTGTGCCATGGCTGTGAGTAGATTGATTACTTAGTATGTAATGTGCTACATGCGCTGCAACAAATCCAAATTCCTGCAAATACTGTGAACCACAAAATAATTTCTTTTGTCAGTTCCTTCCAAAACAACCCAGATGAGTGTTTTCTACATAAGTCCTCCAAATTAAATGACAAAATATGTTTGTGACTTCCAAAACTGTTAAAGCTTAAAGGATTTATTTCTGATTTTTGATGTGTCACTTCAGAGGTAAAGGTTTGGATATTCTGAGACAACTGATACTAGCCTACATGGTTAAGGTTAAGGAAGGAGCATCTATATCTGGGGGCCAGAACCGGCGGCTGCTGGTCTTTAAAAACAGGGGAAGCTCGCTTTAAGTTTACATCATAAATTTTGTCATATTGTAGCGAGGCAGTAACTTATAAAAGGAACATTTAATTGATGCATCATGCACACACCGAGCGTCCTCTCACGCCTATCGCTCCATTAGGTCCCAGGGAAGCTGAGCCTCCCTGGAAGTGACGATTTTGTCGCATTTATCCAATGACCGTCTTGCTTTGCTGCATGAAAAAAACCTGCTCAGGGCTGTCTCATAGGAATGCTTGGAGGCTCCGCGTCCACCGTGCTGACACGAGAATGTATGACAGGGAGGTCGCGTTTGAAAACGTGGTGATAAACAGCTGACGTTTGAACATCATAGTCATGATGTTAGACGCATCCTAGCGCACGTTTAATTCAATGTAAATTCTTATATTAATGTAAATTCAATAGTGCATATTTGACCATTACTTCTATGAAATTTTAGGGGAAGTCCAGCCTCCCTTGTTGTCTCAAATCAATCACCCCTGCCTTGCACACCTAATAGTGATGCACTTGTGGAGGCGAAGAGGTGCCAGGTTTCAGGAGCAAGTTAAACACTGAGTAGCTTTCTTCTTGTAAAATGCTGCTTCAGAGGCTTTTACAGTTCTTATCTTTCACTTTAGTTTGGTGTGATGATGTCAGGATTACTACACAGGAGTGGAAATGTACAGAAAAATGCACATGTAATGATAGTGAGTAGCAGACTGACTGAATGTGGAAAAACTGAGAAATATTATTGAAATTGCATTTGTTCTTCTGACGACACCACAGGCGGTTTGTCATCTGTTTTGTAAATGGATTCCACCTGCGATCAAATCGGACTGTATGTGGCCCGTAAACTAAAATGAGTTTGACACCCCTGGTCTACATGGTTAAAAGAAACCCATGTTCACTGCTGGCAAAGGATGGGATCAGTACAGCGACCTCCAGTGTCAAATTCGACATGTTTTATGTCCACCTATCAATTTATTTAGAAATAAAGCACCAAAATAAATCAGTCAGCATTAATAACTTTAAGTCAAGTTGAGTCAGTTTTATCTATAAAGCCCAAAATCACAATCACAAATTTGCCTCAAAGGGCTTTATAATCTGTACATCACGCAAACCCCTCTTATCATTAGACCCTCAGTCAAATCTATCAAATGACAGACTCTATTGTTCTGCTTTCCTGGTATTCAGAAGCTCTGACAACAGTATCTTCAAAGACAAACAAAAAGTTAAGGGCTGTCTGGCAGTGTGTGCAGGAGCACGAAAAAAAAATTAACATTCGCAGGAGCTGTACAGACACTGAAAGTTTGCTCAGCGGTACTTGCAGAGATCTGAGGTCTTGAAAGAGATGCCAGCATGCCTTTAATTTAGTGAAGTCCCAAGGCAAGGGAGGGTTTAGCTTATAGAACGATGCAGTCTGAGGCAGCATACACACTTGAGGACAATAACCTTGATCATGGGAGCTCTTCAGAATTCATCGCCGCTTGGAAGTGTGTGATTTATGTTTGAAAGAACATCTTTCAGGACACACATAGAAACACAGGAGGATGCAGCACTCACAGCATAAAGGAAGGGGTTCCCTTGTACACTTGCACTGGCATTACTATAATCCAGAGACTTGTTCAGGGACAGTTTGAAAAGAAAGAGCTGCAGCTGGGATGGTTCCTCTTAAAATCAATACAGGAAATAACCTCCCAAGCCCAGAGATGAGTAATGCTGGGAAGTGAAACAGATGCCTCTACTGTACATGTTGTGAAGTGTGAGGATGCTTCAAAATGATGACTAGTGCGAGGACTGTGATGAGAGCCTGACGCATGCAGAAGGCCAGTCAAGTAGACATCCAAGTTCAGAATATGAATACAGCCACAGAGGCACTGATGGAATTATTAAATTACACATTTATTGGGTCTTGATCGCATTTTACCAGGTGTAGAGGAATAAGAAACCCAAGTAATCGGTGCTTAAACATGCTGAACTTGACCTTCATTAACACAGAGAATCGTATTCACCTCTTTGCTGTGC